GCTAAGCTTATCATATATTATGCTCATAGCTGTTTCTAGTGAATCTAAACTATTTGTAAGGGTGGCTTAGAAGCATTGGTTGAATGTGCTGCATTAACAGATGGTGAAACTCGCGATCAGGTTTTTTGGACACTTGGTAATATTGCATTGGATTGTCCAATATGTCATGAAAAGGTAGTGAAGTACTTAATTTATGAAGTTTTAAAATATTATGCAAATAAAAACAACAATAATAATTATCACAATTTTAATCCTACAAATAATTTTTATGGTATATAATTTGTCCCGCGAATTTTTAAATAGCACTTACAGTATTACACTATCGTACTGTATTATCACACTCGTTACTGTATTGTTACAGTATTGTCATACTGTATTACTCGCTACTGTATTGTTACAGTATTGTCACACTGTATTACTCGTTACTGTATTATCATATTACTATAATTTACATATCACTATTTTATTTTTATCAACTAATTGCAATAATAATTGATAGTGTAGGTACAGAACAGTACTGCATTACCGCTTATGATTGGTGTTCTTGTTAATCCAATGTTCATCTGTTCAAAATGGACACGAAATCTTGTCTGGGCTCTATCACAAATATTTCGTGGTGGTATTCATACCCTTCATCATATGGTTCGTTTATAGTTTATTAATTGACCAGGTAATAATATATTTTAAACCATACCTTCATTTTTCACTCTTTATTTATTATTTCGTTTTTTTTTTTTACTAGTAATAAAATGATTTCAAATGAAATTAATTTTTAGTTTATACAAGCAACATTAACTGGTTTACGTCCAGTACTTTATATGGATGATTCTAAAACACGAGTGGATGCAGTCTGGACAATAGCATATATTGCTGATGATAATGTTGATGGTAGACAAGTAAGGCTTAATTTTTTTTTTCTCAACATTAGATAATAAATGGTCAAATTATTTTGATAAACCTTTTTAGGTATACTAAAATAACTATGAAAATTAAAATTAATGAAATTGTTAATCAAAATGAATAATTCTTTTTTTTATTTTGCAATTAAATTTAATCATGCACTTTTTTTTTTTAAATGAAATAATGATAATGTTGATAATGTTTGTTTAATTATTTGATAAGAATATTAGATTGATGCAGTATTGCAAACACCGCATTTATTGGAAAGATTAATCGAATTGCTTGATGAAAGTGATACAATGCGTGCAGCACTAAGAGCACTCGGGAATCTTGTAGCAGGAGGTGATGATCAAACTCAAGCTGTTCTTAATGCTGGCTTATTACCACGCATGGTTTCTTTCAACTTTTATAATTTTAGTCTATTACAGTATTTTTTTTTTTTTGGAAAAAAAATACAAAATATTCAATTATGTTTTAAATGAACAAAAAAAAAAAAAACAACCCATATCTTGAATTAATTTTTAATGCTATATCTAATATGATAACTTGATAGTTTTGATAAATGAAACTGGTGTGATAAGCAAGATTTGGATGAATTAAATTATTTATCCATCGATTTAATCAACCCCTACATCGATCTTATCATTTCAAATCTGCAATGATAACGAATTGAATTGCTTAGAAGTTCAAAATTTAGTTTTAAAAGAATTCTTAAAAGATTAAAAAAGTCATTAATTTTTAGGTGATTTTAGTAAAGACTTGATAAATTTATTGTTGTTTTTGATCAATATATTATCAGTCCGGAATAATAATTGTTATCACAAATTACTGATCGTATTATTTCACTAGTAATTATATATGGAGTTAATTAAATTGATGAATGAATTAATTTAATACATCCAAATCTTGATTTGGATTAGGTAGCATTTTTATCAAACTCAAGAAATACAGCTAATTGATATATCTCAGTTTATCGTATTAATTGATCACCTTAATTATATGGTAGTAATATACATAGTTTTAGTACCATAACTACTTCATTTACGTAGTTATCGTATTAATCAGTATTAAATGAAAGTCAGTTTAGTATTAATCGATCACCTTGGTTAAATGCTAGTAATATACTTAACTTTGTTACTATAACTATTTAATTTACATATTGAATATGATTAAAAAAAAAATCAATGGTAAGAAAATGATAATGAACATAAAGTATTATTTAATAAATACTTTAAAAATTATTCACCAATCTTTTGCTTAACAAGTTACCGTATCATTACCATTATTTTTAAATTAAATAATAACTTTACAGATGAAATTATTCCGGTTTAATATGCCAGTTTATCAAAAACGTGAAATAGCATGGATTTTAAGTAATATTGCGGCTGGTTCACGTCGACAAATTGATTTACTTTTTGAAACAAATAATATTGTTGAAACACTTATTGATACATTCTATTGTGATGATTATCGTATTCGTAAGGTATCATAAAATTTTTCATTTTTCGTTAAACTTAAAATTTTCGTGAAGTTTTTATCGTAAGCTTTTTTTGTTTTGTTTTTTGTAAGGTTTTTATTTCACATTTCATCTTTCCAAATTTCAAATTTATTGACATATTTTTAGGAAGTAGGTTGGACAGTAACAAATGCGCTAACAGGTGCTAGTATAAGTCGATCACGTTGGTTATGTGGTAGTAATGTAATTAGTTTAATACCACAATTACTTCATTTACATACTGAACGTGATTTAATTGATCGTACACTTTATGCTATTGAATTATTGATTACAAAACGAATTAATTTTATTTTTGTACTTGAAAATTATCATATTTTTCAAACGATACGTCAAATTGTTTACAATCAAAACAATCAATTTGATGCGCTCATTAAGGTTTGTATTAATTTAAATTAATCAAAATGAAAAAAAAAAAAGTGTATGGAATATTCGAGAAGGGAAATAGTTAATGTTAGCTAAATGATTAATAAGTTAAAAAGATTAATTAATAATTACAAATAAACGTTAAAACAATATGGATGCAAGATGTTGAAAAATCAAAAAATTTTCAGGCACGAGCAAGACGAATATTAAATAAAGAAAATGATTATAAAGCACATCAAATTCCACCTGGCACCTATATACTTGTCCGTTGAAATTATTAGCTAATTTGTCACAAAAAAATGATTTGAAAAAAATCAATTATTTATTTGATACTTAAAACTGAAATTAATTAATATCCGTGTAATTTAAATTAATACTTCCTAAATGTAATTAATTCATTTCTCATTAATTTCCTTCCAAATTTTGATAAATTTCTCCGATATATCATTTATTTTAATCAAAGAAATAAACGAAAGCAAATTGATGCAACAATACGACAAATAAGTTGAAAAGAATTTGAAATCCTTTAAAAATATTTCAATTTGAAATATTTTATTAACATAGTAAACTGAATTTTTCACCTGTCCAAATTTAAAAATTACTCAAAAATTTTTTTAATTTCTAATATTTCCATCTAAAATTTTTAATTTTATTCACAAAATTAATTTGTAATATGTATTATTTGAATTTGAAGAGATATATTTATAAAAATTTTTAATTAACGAAATGAAAAAAAAAAATGCAAATCATTTAAATTTTGCGATAAATTTTTCGGACAAATTCATTGAAATCTAACCTTTGACATTTAATCTCATGCATTTTAGTAATCATCTAAAAATATATTTAATAATTAAAAGTACTAATTCCCACGATACATATATTTTATATATATATATATATATTACTAATCCGGAAGATACGGATCACTGAAATAGTAGCATGTGGAACTTTGTCGGTGATTAATTGTGACAGTTAGAAGGGATGTTCATCATTTGAACGAAACATTTGTGAGCATTACTTCTTCCGTCTGTCTCAAGCAACTTTTCTTGAACAATTCTTTAAACCGATGCTTCCAACATTTTAATCAGTCGGTTTAACAGTTTCATCCTTCAAATGTCACTTCTAGTACATACTATCATCGTTTTATCTCTTTTAATCACTTTATTCATCGGTTAGTATATTACTTAATTTAAATTACCATTATTATCATAGTAATTGCATACAAAAATACTTAATTAATTATTAGGTAACGAAGTTTTAGAAAAAAAATTATCAGTTATGATTGGAAATTTGTTTATTGTACTTTTTCTTGCATATATTTGTGGATGTAAAAATTATAATAATAAAATGTAATAATTACTTGCGGACCTATCACGACTACTTGAAATCTGATAAACAAAAAAAAAGAAAATCAATTGTGATAAGAATATGATTAATTAAAATAGTTGAATATAATATATATAAGAATTAAATTAAAGAATTATAATTCTTTTAGTAAAATTTTTCAAAAACTTAAAAATTTTGAAGAAATTTAATTTCAATATTTGTCAATACAAAGGTTTAATTTTAATATATAAGTAAATTTCACAACTTGTACTGCAATAATAATAATAATTTATATACAGCAAATGAACAGACACAGACAGACGAACACTCACACACACACACACACACACACACACACACACACACACACACACACACACACACACACACA